AAGCTAAATTACATGAAGCTTCTTCATTTGTGTCTCCAAAACACCAAGGGTAGCTTTCTTCTGTTCCACCGATTTCCTAAGATCAATAATTTTTACTTCAAGGGCTTGTTTTTCTTCTGAATTAATCTCTCCCTTTAACCGTGACATTCTCCGTTCCACTTGTTGAATGTAAAAATCCTGATATAGTTTTTAAAAAGAAGTTAATAAGGAGAAATAAATAATTCAAAGCTTCTCTGTAACATAAAAACACACTGAACACATTCTTATGCATTTGGCCTTAGTAAAATCACTCTAGTCCTTTAGCAATTCAGGATAGAATTTTTCTTTAAAGGGAACAACAACAAACCATTTTCAACAGAGTGCATGAGTTACTTGAAAGCAATCTAAAAATGTAACAAAGTCAGGGGTGTTTATCATACTGCCCTAAAAGCCTTAGTAAATTTACTGGACTTATATAGACATGGATTGTTGAGGGTACATTTTCTAGAGTATGCAAGAAAGATAGTCACAAATAACTGTGAAAGGTTCAAATACGCTAAACTTCTCATTAATCATTTTAAAAATTATACTTAATTTTGAACCACCAAGAATATATTAGGTGAGAAAATTAAGATGTAGAAAGAGAGGGTGTTAAGAAATTATCATGAAAATACATAAGATGTGTGTGTGTCTTTAATAAATACAGAAAAAATGAAAAATACATTTACTCTATTGCCCTGGGGATAGGGATGAGGTGTTCCTATTGGCACAAATAAAAATCAACGTAGTTTTTTTCTAGTTTTCAGATATCCCATGACTTGTTTTGTTCTGGGCTCAGCTGCCCCCGTTTCCTTTAAAACATGGGTCTCCCTCACTAGAATTGTCTCTCCTATTGCCTGTTCATGTTAGATAGAGAAAAAGAATAGCTTTTAGGGTTTCCCTATCCTACTATGAACCTAACATAATATCCCACCGTTAGCATCTGTCTATCCTTCCAAAAGAGTGCTTAGAAACTGTTCTTTTTTTAGGATATTGAGGCATCTTGACCACTACAAGTATAAAAAATCAATATGGAAGACAATCATAAGAGTAACATCTACCTGACAGTACATAATTTCTTGCTGCTTCAGAGTTTCAAAATCCAGTCTATATAATTGATGGTTGAGATGTTTCAGAGAGGAACGGGTTCCTTCAATTTCTGATATGACAGATTTTTCTTTCATTGTCTCAGTCTGTAACTCCTGAACCTTCTTAAATAGCACATCTTTCACTATGTTCAATTGAACTTCTACTTCCTGATAATAAGAATTATAATGGTTAATGAAATCATAATATTTTAAAATTTTTTTTTTATATATGAACACTATAATTTAGGAGCTTATAAACAAACTTGAAATCTTGCCACCAATATTGAAGCCTTTGGGAATATAAAACCCCACGCATGTTTTCAACAAATTCCCAACATTTCCTATCATCTACTCTAGTAGACTAAATTAGGAGTTTTCTATTCCTCTATCATGCACTTTGTCCTGTCATATTAATTCCATATCACCTGGCCCTAGTCTCAACACTAGGTCGCTCCACTGGTTTCCTCAAAAAATAAAAATCACTGGAGAAAAATATATAAGTTCACTGAGTTCATTGCCATCTTGAGAGTGTGGGAGGGAAGAAACAGTGTCACCCAATCTCCATCTTCTTTTGATCATGTAATGAGCAGGTAACTGTCTAAACTTAATCAGCTCTCCAATGGAGGTGGGATTCAGAAGAATATGACTTTCGTGATATAAACATTTACCACTGCAACCAATTTCAAGCTACTAACATGAGTCCACTAAATGCAGAGTTGTGGAATGATACACAGAAGCAGACCATTATATGCAGCATTTCTAACATACACATAGGAGATGTAAGTAATTTTAACCTTAAGACAATAATTTATATAATATAATTTATAATATAATATAATATAATATAATTTATATAATATAATTTAATTTATTCAATTATAAATAGAATATGATTTTAATAATAACTGTGTTTAGCAGCATAATATAAATTCCTGGAAATTCAAATACTGGCTTTATAGGCTAATAGAGGGCAGGCTCTGCACACTATTTGCACTATCTATCACTCATACATGTTGACCTTCCTGCCATGTGCTGCCCCCTGGGAAATATAAACAAGTCCCCCTTTTCATTTCTCCTCTTGGAAGCAAACTTGATCTTGACCTAGAAACTTTATCACCAATGTATTCTAAGCTCTGGTTGATCTACCAAGCTAAGATCAACTGAAAGTCATCATTTTTAAATGTTGAAATAATTTCCTTCTGTGTTCTTATACTTTTCAGTAACCAGTGAATCTCAATATGAAGTAAAAGAAATCTATGGTTGGCACATTTTAATCTTTATAAAGCAAGAAATACCTGATAATCAACACATCATTTTTCATAAAACAGACAGTTTTCATTGGGTTTAAGACCTTCTCAAAGATTACCTAGCAGAATTTTGAAGTCTATGTTTTAGGGTAAATAATACAGTATATATTCAATAAAGATAGAGTTAGCCTTTTTTCCCAAACAAAAGACAACATCAAAAAAAAATTAAGATAATGAACAGTCCTGCTAGAATACGATCAGTACATCTGCTGCCAATATTTTTATTTTCTAATTTAATTAATTTCTCTAAAAATGATTTTTTTATTCTCTGTGATCAAAAGGTCTATTTCATATGAATTTTACAGTCTTTACAAGTTTGTAGTAAGTTCCAATACTGCCCTCTATCATGTGCCATAGAAAATCATGCCATTAGAGGACAAAAACAACTTAAAAAAAATAATGTTGTATGATTTGGACTCAAACACCACTCAAGTCAAGATTGCTACTCAGAAATTTTTACATGACTACTGAGGAAGCTGTATTCCATCCAAATATAACTAGAGATATTTTTATATATGCCTCATAAAATGTCTAGGGAATTTGCCATCATCTTCAGCTATCCCTTATTCCTCCCCTTTGGTCCCCCCCCCAAAAGGATAAAAGCAAGAAGCAGTGCCCACTGTAACAGAGCACCCTTACAGGTCCCTTTGAAAATTTCAATGAGGAAATGGTGACTAGCCTTTTCCAGTGCCTCAAAACAAATAGTCCTCTGACCCCAAGAGTCTAATGAATTCACTCTTGCTAATTTTAAAAAATTAAAAGTAAACTTTACCTTTACACTTTTTTCTTCTTCCTTTAACATATCCTCCAGATTGGTAGCTTTTTCTTCCACAGACATGGTTTTTTCAGTAATGTGACTTAATTTTTTTTTTACAATCTGATTATGATTTTTAATTCTTTGTAACCTAAATAGTGAGAAAAAATAGAAAACAAACTTCAAAAAAGTATTTAATGAAAACAAAGAATACTTTATCCTAAGACTTCTTTATATCTTATGAAAATTTACTATAAACCTTTTTACTATACATTGTATATCTAATAAATATAAAAATACTGCTCTAGAGCCTTTGTGATGAAAGTCAGGTAAAACTGTCTTAAGCTCAGTAGAGTAGTAGGTATAATTTTGCAATTATTTTATAGAAAATAAATTTAAGTATCTAAAAAAACCATAAACATATGTAAATAGCTTTTTTTCTTACCTTTCTGTTTTTTCATGAATATCTTTCTTTATTTTGGAAATATTCTTCCTCAGAGCTTCTAAATCACTGGAAGTTCTATTCACAGTGGCTTTTAAAGAATCCAGCTATTCATTAGTTAAATGACAAAATTATTTATTTATTTTCTTATAAATTAACTTCATTTCTAAGAAGTTCAATTGTGTCCATTTTTAAGTTCTAACCTATACTACACCCACAAAACTTTTTTGTAATTAATATATATGTATTTTCTTACTTATTTTCATGTCAAATTTTAAATGGTCTGCTTTACAATACTATTAAATTATTAAAAATTACATAAATGTGTTGAAATGCAGAAATGTTCAATATCACTAGGCCTACTTAGGAAGACCATATCCCAGGATTCAAGATAAATTAATGACTGTATATAAAGTGCTTGTGAAAATCATATGAGTACAATTGGATCTGAAAAAAAAATCTCAAAGATTCTAATACATCATCCTAAATACACAAATCCTCCTAATCACCTACATTTTACCATAATCTAAATTGTTAAAACAGAAAGTCCAATATACAAATTTTCTCCTTCACTAAATTTGCAAGATCCTAAGGACTCTACCAAAAAGTAAGTTCAAACTAATAAACAAATTCAGTAAAGGTATAAGATACAAAATCAACATATAAAAAACAGTTTATTTCTATACTCTAACAAACTACTGAAAAAGAAAATTTTAAATAGCTCATTTACAAAAACCACTAAAAAGAATAAAATATTTAGGAATAAATTTAACCAAGGAGGTCAAAGATCTTATGCTGAAAACTGGAAAATATTGATAAAATAAATTATACAAGACACAAAGAAATAGAAACAGATATCCAGTATTCATGAGTTAGAAAAAGTAACATTGTCTGAATGTTTGTAATACTTGAAGCCGATTCAATAAAATTCCTATCAAAATTCCAACATCATTCTTCACAGAAGTAGAAAACAATCCTAAAATTCATATTGAATCACAAAAAACCCCCAAATGGCTAAAGCAATCTTGAGCAAGAAAAGCAAAGCTGGGGGAATCACACTTCCTGAGTTCAAACTATATTATAAAGCTATTGTATAGCATAAGCAAATAAACATAATTCATCACATCAATAGACTTGAAGACAAGAATCATATTATCATCTCAGTAGAGACAGAAAAAGCATTTGGCAAAATACAGCACCTTTTCATGTTAAAAACACTAGAAAAACTAGGGATAGTAGGATCACACCTCAACATTGTAAAAGCTATATATATGCTAAACCCAAGGCCAACATCATTCTAAATGGAGAAAAATTGAAAGCATTCCCTCTAAGAACTGGAACAAGATAAGGATGCCCTCTTTCACCACTGTCATTCCACACTGTCCTTGAAACTCTAACCACAGCAATTAGACAGACAAAAGAAATTAAAGGAATATGAATAGGAAAAGAAGAACTCACACTATCACTATTTGCCAATGCCATGATTCTATATTGAGAAGATCCAAAAATTCCACCAAAAAAACTTCTAGAACTAATAAATGAATTCAGCAAAATGGCAGGATATAAAATTAATACCCATAAATCAAACACCTTCTTATACATCAGTGATGAATCCACTGAAAGAGAAATTAGGAAAACTACCCTGCTCACAATTCAAAAAACATAAAATATTTGGGAATCAATCTAACAAAAGAGGTGAAAGTCCTCTACAATGAAAACTACAGAACTCTAAAGAAAAAAATTTAAAAAGATCTTAGAAGATAAAAAGCTCCCTCATGCTCTTGGACTGGCAGAATTAATGTCAATATTATAAATGGCCATATTACCAAAAGTACTATACATATATAATGCAATTCCTCTTAAATTCCAATGATGTTCTTCATAGAAATAGAAAGAGCAGTCATGAAATTAATTTGGAAAAATAAGAGGCCCAGAATACCCAAAGCAATCCTTAGTGAGAAAAGAGACTTGGGAGACATCACAATATCAGACCTTAGTATGTATTACACAACTATAATAACAAAAAAAAATGGCCTGGTATTGGCACAAAAACAGACATGTAGACCAATGCAACAGAATAGAAGACACAGAGACAAACCCACATAAATGCAGTTATCTCATATTAAATAAAGATGCCAAAAACATACTTTGGAGAAGAGCTAGCCTCTTCAACAAATTATGCTGCAAAAACTGGAAATCCATATGTACTAGAATGAAATTGAACCTCTATCTCTCACCCTGTACAAAAATCATCTCAAAGTGGACCAAGGACCTAGGCATTAGACTAGAGACTATGCCTACTAGAAGAAAAAGTAGGCCCCAGCTCTCTACCATGTCATCCTAGGAACCACCTTCCTCAATAAGACTTCTAAAGCACAAGAAGTTGAAATCAAGAATCAACAAATTGGATGGAATCAAACTAAAAAGCTTCTTCACAGAAAAGGAAACAATCAAAAATGTGAAGAGAGAGCCTACAGAATGGGAGAAGAACTTTACCATATGCACTCAGATAGAGCATTTATCTACAGGATATACAAAAAAATTAATAAACTAAACACCAAAACCCAAAATAAAATAAAATAACCTAATCAACATATGGGCTTAGAACTAAATAGACTCTTCACAGAAGAAGAAAAAAAAAGTGGTCAACAAGTATATGAAAAAATGTTCAATGTCTCTAGCAATTAAAATTAAAATTAAAATTAAAATTGCACTGAGATTCCATCTCGACCAGTCATAATGACAATGGTCAAGAACACAAGTAATAATAAATGTTGGTGAGGGTGTGGGGAAAATGTTTCACTCATACATTGCTGGTGGGATTGTGAATTGTTGCAACCATTCTGGGAAGCAGTCTGGAGATTCCTCATAAAACTTGGAATAGAACCGCCATTTGAGCCAGTTATCCCACTCCTCAGCTTATACCCAAAAGACTTTAAATCAGCATACTACAGTAATGCAGCCACTTTAATGTTTATAGCAGCTCAATTCACAATAACTAAACTATAGAACCAAGATGGGTGCCTTACAACAGATGAATGGATAAAGAAAATGTGGTACATATACACTATGGAATGTTACTCAGTCATAAAGAAGGATAAAATTATGGCATTGGCCAGTAAATGGATAGAACTGGGGGACTATCATGCTAAGTGAAATAAGTTAGTCCCCAAAAATCAAAGGTAGACTGTTCTCTCTGATATGTGGATGCTAACTCACACCAAGGAAGGAGAATATTAGAAGTTCATTGGGCTAGACAAAGGGGAATGAAGGGAAGGGAGTGGGAATGGCAATAGAAAACATAGTAGAATGAATCGAACATATCTTCCCTATCCTTATATAGAAATACATGATCAATGTAACTCCACATCATATACAACCACAATAATGGGATCCTAGTTGGAACAAGTTATACTTATTCTACGTATGTATAATATGTCAAAATACATTCTACTGTCATGTGTATCTAGAAATAACAAGTTTTATAAATGAATTAAAGATAAGAAAGATAGTGGAACAAAACAGATATTACTGCTTTATGTATATATGTGACTACATAACCAATATGATTCTATAACATGTACACTCAGAAAAATGAGAAATTATATCCAATCTATGTATGATACAAAGTGTATAAATGCATTCTACTATCATGTATAACTAATTAAAACAAATAAAAATTCTTTAAAAATAAATAAACAAATAAAAATAACATCATAAAATTCTGAGAAGAATTCTAAGGAAAAAACTAATTAGTTTCCACAGTAATTTTTTTTGGATTTAATATAAAAAGCACATGAAATAAAAGTTCTTTACACCCAAGATGATTTTTATCAAAAAGTAAAAAGTGAAGAGGATGTGGAGGAAGGGAAATTTTCACTGGTGGTGGAAATGTAAATTTTTAAAGTCATTATGAAAAAAATTATGGAAGTTCCTCAAAAAATTAAAAACAGAACTACCATATAATCCAGTAATCCTACTTCTGGACCAAGACCCCAAGGGGAGAAAATCATTATGCTAAAGTCAGACTTAATTCCCCAAGTTCAATGTAGTCTTATTCACAATAGTCAACAGAGGGAAACTGCCTAAGTATCCAAGAACAGATGAGTGTATAAAAAAACTATATTCCACATGATGGAATATAGTTCCACCTTGAAAAAGAAAAAAATTCTGCTACTCCTAAAAATATGGCTGAAATATGAGGGCATTATGCTAAATTAATTATGCAAGTAACAGACAAATACTGCATGATCTCACCTACACGTGGAATCTAATAAAGTCAAAAACTTGCATTATCAGATAATAGAATTCTGGTTAGCAGGGGCTAGAAATTGGTCAAAGGATATAATTATTCAGTTGTAAAGAAGTTATGGAAATCTAAAGTATAGCATGGTTAACACTAGTATATTATATATTTGAAATTTTCCAAGAGAGTAGTTCTTAGGTTTATCACCACACACACCCAAATAGTTATGTGAAGTGATAGATGTATTAATTAGCATGATCAGGGTGATCATTTCACATTGTATATGCCTATAAAAATATCACATTTTATAGCATAAATATACACAATTTCAATTGTCAATCATTTGTCAATAAAGCCCAGAAAAAAGATGCATATATTTTTAAAATAAAAGAAAATTTGCAATCTATTAAAGAGAATCAATAGTAACTACCTCAATGTAAGATAGAGGTTCTAACATCCTAGTGTATAAAATATTTTTTTAATTTTTTTAAATTTTTATTGTTGGTTGTTCAAAATATTACATAGTTCTTGACATACCATATTTCACACTTTGATTCAAGTGGGTTATGAACTCCCATTTTTACCCCACATACAGATTGCAG